AGCCACAGAGAAACCCTGTCTCGAAAAACCAAAAAAAGAAAACAAAAAAGAAAAAAAAAGAAAGTGTCTGAGTGTCTGTCCCTGCGCTGTCCACAATAAGGGATCCACTAGCCACTTGTTACATTGATCACTTAAAATGTGGCCGCTAAAGTGGAGGGATTGAATTTTAAAGCTAATTTAAATAGTCCTGTGATTAGAGGCTCCCACATTAGTACAATCCTAGAGAATTTTCCAGGTTGTGTTTGGATTGCTCAAGAGGTTCCTGAGGTCACGTTACAAAGACAGCTGTCTTCAGGATGTGACTGATTTTGCATGTGTCAAGTTTGAAAGCTTGGAAACAGCCTCCTAGGTCGGGTCTGCCCCTGGTGCAGCATGCCCATCAAACCAGGGCTCTGTGCTACAGATGCCGCGATGTGGGCTTCACAGAGAGTGAAGTCACCCACAATGGGCTGGACCTTCCCCCATCAGTCACTAATTAAGAAAGTGCCCACTGGTCAGTAGTGGCACACCTTTAATCCCTGCACTTGGGAGGCAGAAGCAGGCAGAGCTCTTAAGTTTGAGGCCAGCCTGGTCTACAGAGCTAGGTCTAGGACAGCCAGAGCTACACAAAGAAACCCTGTCTTGAAAAAACAGAGAGAGACAGACAGAGAGAATATATGTCCTACAGGCTTGCCTACAGCCCATTCATGTGGAGGCATGGGACTCTAGTTAGTGTCAAATTGACATAACCCTAGCCAGCCCCCTGACTTTGATCTTCACTCCAGAGATTCCATTGGTTCAAGGGAGTGAGGGTGTTTGTGAGGGAACTCTTGGCTGTCTAGGGCCCTGCAACCCAGACCTGTCTCTTCTCCAGATGCTCCTTGAGAAACTGAATGGCACAGTGCCCTGCCTCCTGGACACCAGCACCATCCCTGCCGAGGAGCTGACCATGAGTCCCTCACGTTCCATTGCCAACCCTTCCCTGAATGATAGCCTGGCCACTAGTAACCTCCGGCCTTCCAATGGTGACTCGCCTTCCCACCCCTACCACCGAACCTTCTCACCCCACTTCCACCACTTTGTGGAGCAGTGCCTTCAGCGCAACCCCGATGCAAGGTACCTTGCTGGCCATCAGTTGAGCTTCAGGGGAGCAGAGGGAGCTTGGGAACTCCAGCCAGAAGAGAGGCTGGCTCTTAAGTAGAGACTAGATTCCCAGAGGATTCCCACAGCAAGAAGAACCAGCTTCCTGTTAAGAAGCTAGCCTGGGTGGCTTTGGCTATTGGCTGTTGGGAGAGCTGAGGGAGGAGGGAGAAGGTCTGGGAGGAGAGGGTGAGTGTCAGGGTTTGGATAGCTGAGCCCAGGGTTCATGTGGTCTCTTCCCCCTTCTCTCCAGGCCGAACGCCAGCACCCTCCTGAACCACTCCTTCTTCAAGCAGGTATGGAAGTGCTCCCCTGGTTCCAAACCTGCTGCTGCTCACCTGTGGTTCTAGCCACCCTGGCTCCTTAGCTTGGGGGTAGGGGTTCTTCCGCTGCTTGTTTGAACAGAGGAATGACCATGTTTCTGAAGCCCTAAGAGGCTCCAGGACACCATGGGGCAGGAACCATGGCCTGATAACTGAAGGTCCTGTGGTGTCCTGAGTTGTAGCATCCATCATCCAACTTGTCTTTCTCCCTCAGATCAAGCGACGTGCCTCAGAGGCATTGCCCGAGTTGCTTCGCCCTGTCACCCCCATCACCAACTTTGAGGGCAGTCAGTCTCAGGATCCCAGTGGAATCTTCAGCCTGGTGACAGACTTGGAAGGCCTGGAGGTGGATGACTGGGAGTTCTGAGTCAATGCAGCCTGCACCCTCCAGCTGGGGTGGGGTGTGAGCCCTGGGGGCGCTCCCTGAGGGTCGGCACCTACCTCTGGGTGCAGACTGGGTAGAAAGGACACTGTGCCGGCAGAGCTGGCTGCTGGCTGCTTGAAAGGACATTCTGGAAGAGACTTCACTGTTTCTTTGGCTTTTGAGAGACAGGGAGTCCCAGTCACCAGGGACTTGGAGAAGCCGGAAAGCTGACATCCTGTTCTGTGAGCTCAGGGGACCTCCTTAGAAGGAAGAGACACTGCTTTGGCCCCGAGGCTGAAGTCCAAGCCCAGAGCTTAACTCACGACCCAGGGATCCTTCACTTCCTCTTCCTGCACTTGCGCTCATACCAGCCTATTCCACTCATTTCTCTGCTCCCAGATCCTGTAGGGCTAAACGGGGGACAAGTCCCAAGCAGCCTGTCCCTGCTCTGCCATCAGGCATCTCCCCAGTGTCTGTTTTAAGCACCAGGTCAGTTATGGCTGGGCCGGGCCATCCTCATCCCCACCTAGCTCTTGGGCCCTGACACCTGAAACCTCTTAGCTCGTCTGTTACACTCCTTTCCCAAGAATCCATCCAATGCCTCCTGCCAGCTGCTGCCTTGGTGCCTCCTCCAAGGGCCGTAATGTCTTGCCTCATCTGAGGGCTTGAGTAAGTCCTTACGTTGTGTTAGTTTCATTGTCAGAACAAATTAAAAATTTCAGAGTATGTCACCAGTGTTTCCATGTGTGCACAGGCTGTAGGATGGCCAGACAGGATCAGGGTCAGGTCTAGGCCATTGTTCTCCCAGGGTGGGCTGAGTGGGTGTGGAGGCCTGGCAGTGATTTTTTTTTTTTTAAGATTTTATTTATTATGTATACAACATTCTGCTT